CCCGGTGGGGCCTTTGGGCTTGGCGAAGGCCTGCTTGTGTGCATGCTGCTTGGGATGAACCTCTTCGTACAGGAAGTCACCGGTCAGTTCATCCCCGTTGTCGATCTCCAACTGGGAAACAGACGGAACATATGAGCAGATGCACTTGCAGACACAGCATAATCAAAAACTCCTTAAGCAAAGCATGTTCTTTTGAAGTATTAAAGGTTCTACTTTGTGGTGACCATCTGTTTCGAATATCATCTTCAAAACAGAAAACACACTCTTTATGCTATACTAAAAAAATAACTAATGCTGTAAGAATTATCGCGTTAACGGCGGTAATTCATTTTTTGAATTAATTGCGTTAAAATATTTAACGCATGTGCATAATGGCCCGCCCCATACTGTACATCCCACCAGTGGCAGCGCCAGGGTATGGCTGGGGTAGGCTACGCCCATACAGGGCCGTGGGAAGTAGGGGTGCTGAGGGTGCTGCAGCACCCCCTGATGGAGGACAGGGAATCTGTGCGTCCACAAGATTAAATGGAAATATAATACAAAAAAACGAATTTTCAGCCCTGATGTAACAACATTCATAATTAAGTAAAGATAACACCCTTTTCACCCCGGTTACAGTTTCCATTTGCCCTGTACGATGAAAGTGGGGGATGTTGGCTTATCAGGCGCCCGCAGCTCACACACAGGACAGATATCAGCTGTCTGGACAGGACTGATAGCCAGACAGACTGAGAGGCTCAGTGAGGTAAAGGACTGAGTGTTTAGATAGTTCACTTTAGTCTAAGTTATCTCAGAGGGTCTCAAACGGTTTGTTAACAATTTATGTAAACAAATATTTCCAAGGCAACCTTTATAATTATTGGGATAAATAAAAACAGGTTTGAAATCATTCCAGNTGCGGCGCACGCCCCTCTTCCCGGTGGGGCCTTTGGGCTTGGCGAAGGCCTGCTTGTGTGCATGCTGCTTGGGATGAACCTCTTCGTACAGGAAGTCACGGTGACTTCCTGTACGAAGAGGTTCATCCCAAGCAGCATGCACACAAGCAGGCCTTCGCCAAGCCCAAAGGCCCCACCGGGAAGAGGGGCGTGCGCCGCATCACCCGACCCACCCCAGAGGGAGAGGAGAGAGATTAAACAGACCTCAGCACCACCCACCTCCACCCCGAGCACGTTCCACAGTGGAACATTCCTGCAATGGGGGAAATCATATTTGACACGCTTGTTTAAAAGAATAAGACGACAACCTCAAACGCCCGTAAACATCCCCAGAGACCCAACTATGCACGCCAAGGACAACTGAGCAATGACACACTTCAGAATTTTCCATTTGTAGCCTGCCAAATGGAAGCATATTCATATATGTTAGTGCAGTCACAACTATTCACAATGATTTTAAAAGAGGCCCAAACAAAGTCAAATGTGAGGTTTCCACATTGTTGCCAGCTCTAAGACTTTACAAAGTGTCAATGTGACTAATGTGAACTTGCGCCAATATGATAAAAAAAAAAACATTCTGAGTTCACATGCTTGAATTCTTAACTTGCATTCCTTAAGTCTGTGTCAATTAATGTTTTTGTGTCTAATATGTTGAAATTGTCTCCTACTGTTTGCACAATGAAGTGCTCCAAAGCAGAAAAAGTTATCCCACTTGTGTCTATTGATTCCTTTTAACAGTGCATTTTATATTTGGAAAATTGACTTCTTTTTTGATATTACTGTGGTTTACATGAAAAAAATCATCTGCTGAGAAACTTATTTTTCTATGCAAGTGCTGTAAATGTACATATTGTAGCTGTGTGATGCTATATGATTAAGAAACAGTCTAGTCTGTTTTGGTGATTGTCTGTGTTGGTGAGGATCACAGTGGAAAGACCCAGTGCTTCCAGAAATATTCGATCAGTACATCTCAGATTTCACTCAGAGGAAGCTACTCCAACTTTGCTGGTTCCCAAACAGGAGGGCAGCCGAGCAACCGGATAGGAAAGGGAATAATATACTTATTACCTTGATGAAAATGTTGCCACATCCACTGGTCTACTGATTAATATTAGGCAAACTACTTAGCTCACCTCATGTCTGAAGGAAAAAACACTTCCTGTATATTCATACTTTGTCATTCTAATAGAAAATAAAATCATGTTCGGTCTTATTTGTTTTCTTACCAATCTTTCTTTTAACGAAGAAAAAATAAAATATTTAAATCACACATTTTCTGTTTCCTTTTATTCTTTTTACAATAAATACATTATGTGGACACTGTAATCGTAACAGACACTTTCAGTATTTTTAAGACATTCAAATATCAAACGTGGCAAAACAATCTCATAAAATGCTGTAGAAAAAAAGTAAATCAAGCTACTTCTTAGAAATATAGTAAATCATTCATAATAAAATACAAAAATGCCATTTATTACTGAATTCTTATTTGAGTATTGTGTTCTGTATACAACACTTTTTGTCAGTCACAGTCAACACGTAACATTTATTCTGCGCCCGGTGACGTGAGAAGGCTCATAAATCTTGGATCTTTTCTGGGATGCTGTGCTTCAATCCTGTGCTCTAAAATCCAGTGAAATGCTTTTGACAACTCCTTTCAGTTCCAACAGGACCTGTTAAGAAATATATTTATATGAATAGCTCAAATAGACAGTCTACAAATAAAAAGACAAACACTTTAGTTTTTAGCATTTTCATGCAGAGAATAAAACCTTATATAAAAAACATTGTCTTCTTAACAATATTATTAACATGCCACACTGTTAAACGTAGTAACATGTTCCTTTAATAGGATTAACAGGGGAATTGAACATTATTTATTTTAAGATGATCTCTTATGCAGCGTCTTGTCCAAACCCAAATCCGCAGCTGAAAATAGTCCCAAACAAATTCACCATTTTCTCTTGTTTGAAGGTTTTTCCAAACTAAAGTGCAACATTGTTAAAGGAAATTACACTGAATATGTATGTTTCCTAAGATTTATATATTCAGTATACTTCGATGAATCATGGGAGAGCTACAGCCAGGCTGGGGAAGTCAAGACGGTGCAGACAGATTAAGACATTGATCGATGTGGTTGTATTATGGGATACGGTGAGACCTTCTCCACCAGACTTATCAATGCGCCTGGAACTGATTATACAGTACAGGTATTTCCCTCAAGGTGACATAGAAAGTTTTGCACAGTAGCTTCAACTTTAAATCGGAATATCTGCCGTTATCTCTCCCCACTGTCTGTACCTGTTTGATGACTGGCCGTCTGTTTTTCCTGTCGAGGAGGCAGTTACAGGCCAGAGAGTACACACTCTCCACCTGGCTCATCTCCCAATCGCTCATCTTTTTGTCCAGGAACTCCTCCAAAGTCAGATCTTCCTCTTCATCATCAATATCATCCTTCACCTCCATCTGGGAGTGGAGGGGATGAAAAATCGCACTATATATGACAGTGATAAACAATATTGCTTCCACTTCAACTAAGCATTATTGCTTCAATCATGTCGGGGAATTAGATTTCTAGTGTCCCTTTTCATTTGGACACTCCAAAATATACTGTACATTTTGCCCAGCACAGGTGAAACTAATTAAAATCTCTCTTTGACTACCAACTGATACTGAGCCCTGACTAATTAAAGGTTACATCTCGAGTAAGCTGTTATCATAAACTTGAGCTTGATAGATTCACAGAGAAAGCCTCCTTTGTGCTGCTCACCAAGAACTGTGGCTCGCGGTTTTCATCGGCTGGCGAGAGTCCAGACAATATTTCCAACAACACCTGTAGATGGCAGAGAGATGGGGTCAATCACGTTGCTCTGGATGTCACAAAAACCTTTATTACTCCACCATGTGCCAGGTAGCTTCACAGACACTGTAGTGTTTGCACAGCTGTCCATATAGGCTGTACATACTGCACTGTATAGAAGGTCAGGAGGTTTTACACACTGCTGATCCCATAAAACAATCTACTAATGTCGTACGATGGATTATATGTTTGATATTTACAGCTACTAATACTCAGCTGTGGCCCTTCACTGATTCGTAGGCAATAATAGACGTTACATAACATAAAGCTCTATTTTCACAAATGTGAAGAAATGTATACGCTAATGTTTATGTCCTGCAATTATGTATGTGTCAGTACTTTGTGAGAACCTTGCACTTAAGTAAACTGCTGAGTTGTTTTTACATTTTACATTACAGTTGCAGTTTTTTTTTCTCCCAGACATAATATCCAGTCAATGTGTGTGTGCATGCATTTTGGGAGTGTGCAGAAAAGCCTACCACTCCAAAGCTGAAGACGTCAGACTTTGATGTGATCTGCCCTCTTAGCGCTTCAGGTGCCATGTATGCACGGGTTCCCACAATCCTCTCCGTCATCATGGTTGTTGACGACCGCTTGGCCGATGCCCTCGTCAGCCCAAAGTCTGAGATCTTAGCCACAAATGTTTCATCTAAGAGGATATTTGCACTGACAAGAAGAAAATAAAGATTACAGTACAGCAGGAGGTTAGCTTACCTTAGCACAATTAATGGAAAGAGCTAGCATAGCTTTGCCATACGTTGACAACATCCACGTACCAGTTCACTAGAGCTCCTATACTAAATAAGCATATATTGATACAAATATATATAAAGTGCTTGTTCAGTTATAAAGACTTTTAACTTGTTTATCTTTATGCCCTGAATTGTAGAAATAACCGGACATTTTGAAAATAATACGGAGATTGAAGCCCCTCTCATATCCTTTTGTTGTGAAGTTGTTATAAGCCTAGCTTTGCAAACAGACAAAAAACTGGGGAAATACTTATCCTGTATCATGTATCAGAAATGTAAAAACAATATGAACAATAGAATAGTTATTTGAAACTAAAAACAAATTGTATTTCCCAAAATGTTTAATTATTATATTAGGAAAAGATCATTTAATTAAAAGGCATGACAATGAAGATACACCTCACTGTATGTACCTTTTAACGTCTCTGTGGACATGATGGTTGCTGTGCAGATACTCCAAGCCTCTCGCTGTCCCTTCAGCTATCAAGCATCTCTGCCGCCAGTACAGAGGAGGGCTTTCATCCTGAATGGAAAAAAAGCAAACAATGAATTCATCTGTGTAAAGTAAAGCACAGGTGATAGAAGCAAGCAACAGTTGAGATGCTTACCAAGCAAGCGATTCGGTCTAGCAAAGAACCGTTGACCATGAGGGGATACACCAAACACGGGTGCTGACCATCAGAGGAAAATCCAACCATGTCAACCAGGTTTTCATGTTTCAGCCTGTGGAACAAACTGTCTCATCAAACCAGATCTGTAATTACAAATAAATGAATCTATGTTGACCTCAAAGAAAAATGTCTAGCAAGTTGGGTAATACCCTTATTTCCTTGCTTGCTGAGTTTTAATCAAACCCCATGGTCGCACAAAAAAGCTACTCTGAAAAGTATTTGCATTTCCGATTTAACCAATATCTTTATCGACCAACTCCATTCATTGTCCATTTAGTAATTACAATAACTGGCTAAAAGTATCTATTCAATCTGAATGTATTTGTCGGTCCTAAGCTAAACCCAGGCTGCTTTTACAAAACCTTGAACCAGCAGAAACAGCTTGTTGGCTCTCGCATATAAAACATAATGGTTATGAGGTGGCTGTGAGTCATCAAAATCAACCTGATCAACAAGGATTTATTTTAGAGAGAAGATAAAACGTACACTTTCAGAGTCTGGATCTCTTGGTTGAACTGAACTTGCAGCTCTTCCAGGGAGATGTCCTCCATCTAAATGAGATAGTATGTTATGTTGTGATTTGCAAAATGAGCATAAGTATAATATTGCCATAAAACGTTTTAAACTTACAGGATTGAGCTTTTTCACAGCAACGGGTTTGTCATTTAGGAGACCTTTGTACACAGTGCCAAAGCCTCCCTCTCCCAGTCTGCTGCCGCCGTCTGATATTGGCCGGTCATCAAAATTGCCTGTGATCTTCATCAGCTCATTGTAGAGGAAACTGGAGACACCTAATGAGGAACACAGAAAAGTTTCATTATAAGTTATGTAGTTGAGCTCCCATTGCTGCCACCTGCTGGTCAATTTAGTAAACGTACACATTTCCATAGAAATGTAGAAATATAGATGTCAGGAACCAAGATAGCTTTTTTTAGTAGTGGAACTAAATTATTTTACTCAGGTACAATTATTTGCAATTTTTTACAATTCCAATTATTTCTTTTATTTAAAAGCTAAAGTCTTAGGTTCCTCTGCAGATTAACATTTTCCACACAAAACATGTTCATAGTAGTAAAATATCATTTTAAAAGATGAACTCCATACAATTTATAAAGTACATTAGTTTTACTTTTGGATATTGAATGAAGTACTTTTATTTGTATTGGAGCAGTTCTAAACTGTGTAATTAAAGTCAAAACATGCACTTTATTTACACAAAACTGTGTTCTTAAAATCTATCACATATTGTTTTAGTGCCATATGCAACACAATCAAAAACGATGGACTCTGTATGCATAAACATGTTATATTTATACTAGCCTCTCTACAGTTGGGTTTGTAAACATAACTAAGTTACCTGTGTGTTCTGGTTCACTGCTCTCCAGCATCTGTGTCTGCAGAACAGAGCTCTCAGCTGGTGGCCGTGTCTCTGTGTCTTCCAGGAGTCTAGTAGGAGCAGCGCTGTTCGTTTGTACTGCTGGAGAGGCCTGCTGTATCTCTGGTAAAACATCCTCTTCCACTGTGTCTGGACAAAACATTGAATACGTTATTTTTTTTGATATGGCGCAGTATTCTTAATATCTTAAATTGGTTGTTGATACTGAGATGGGCATTTGTACAGATTATTTAAACAACACAATTTAAAATAAATACGTTTTTTGTATGTTGCTCATTTCTGTGTAGATGTTAGATAGTAGTAGGCCTACTTTTCACCTTTTGTTTTGAAACTAGTATTGTAAGTCATAATGTCATTCCTCAGAAAACAAACACTTTTATTGCATGTCACAACAATGTCATTAACAATAAGTATGTTTTTCTCTTTGGTGATTGTTTTTATATATGAATAGAATGTATGTTTTTACATCTGCAATTAAGAGGTGTCTCTTCCCTCTCTATGGCATTCATGCTTTTGTACATAGCCCTTAATATGCAACACATCTGGAACTGATTAATTATTGAAGTATAAATGCATGTATTCTATCACTTACTGATTTGATTTAATTGGAAAACTGTTTTGATGGGGATGATGTATGTTTTGAGAATTTGTGATTTAAGAATTAGAAAATATTGTCAAATGTAACAGACCACTGATGATACATAGATAGGCTTTGTTTATTTCATAGCCTGGGATTATCATTATACCGTTTTGTTTTAAATCAGGTAGCAGGATATTAGCAGCAGCCAGTAACTTGTGACTCTTCAAAATGTCCACCAGTTCACCCACTGTACTGTTGGTGGTCCCCCAGTCAGCCAGCAGAGCCACCGTGGGACTTTCCCCCTGTGCCACAAGCCTTTCAAATCTCCTGAGAAACAAATACATCACATACATATATGAAATATTGTATTAATAAAGAAAATAGACGAATAGATAAATGGATATTCTAGCATTCTCGACCTTAACTGAAACAATAACAAAGCAAATACACCAGCTATATTCACCTACCTGACATGATGCTGTGAGTACCCCAACTCCCCACTCGGCTTCCGTATCGACACAATAACATCTTTCCACCTGTCCTGGGGATCCAAAAAGTCGGACAACTTGCGACGCAAACTATAACTGAGGTTTCGGATGTAAGTAGCGGAAGTTATTAAGTTATTCATCCTACGACAGAAATAATGACACAACCTGTTGGACAGTTATTCTAACATGGTGTGCAACTTACAACGCCGCTCTGGGTGTTAATTATCCGCCGTTAAACCCATGAAATAAAAGACAATATCAAACATTTTGCTCACGGTTTGGTACAATGTGTAAACTTTCCAATATTGAGCAACTTCCTTAAACGTAACACAAGCAGGCCGGCCCCCTTCAAGTCTCCACCTCCATGCGGAAATACGTACAGTCTATGGGAAATACAAGCAGTGATGGATGTGAATAAAAGGTTCACTTTGTACTGTGTGCCCCCGGATGTTGGTAAGATCACAGTTCGTGCACTCTGTAGATGTGTTTGAGTTAGTTAGTTTAGTTAACGTTATCTTTCCTGTTTTTGAGGAGAGAAACAGAAAGACAAACATTATGCTGTGCTTTCAATGCCAATGTGTTTGTAGTATGACAGTGGCCTCTAGTGGACAATAACCAGATGTCACGTCTGAATCCAGCCTGAGATTTGGTGTTGTTTTGTGATATGAGTATTGCATAGGTAATTTATTTACAGGGATAACTCTAAGTGGAAATCTATGTTTGATAACTGGAACATATGAGTGCCTCCTTGCATCAAGATAGATCTTGCTTGGGGGGAACTGCAGAGAAAATGGTAGAACAATCAAGAGGTCCAGATCAGGCCCAAATCCAGCACTGGAAAATGTGTAAGTGCTTATATGTGTATATTACATCTTACATTCATTCATATATTAAAACGTGTCTATCATGCACATAAACATATCTTTTCAACTTGGAAAGAGGAGTATGTATTGTTTCTATGTTCTAACTGGACATGCTATAACTGAAGCAGGAAGCAACTGATTTAATGAATTATCTGATTTAATTTAACTGAAGTAGCATTTGAGAACTGACTTTGTCCTTTTATATGAGATGTAACTTTAGAACAACCATGTCCAGATAGCTTTGATTGTGAATTGTGCCTTTTAATTGTGTTGCTCCTTCATCATTCTCTCTCTCTTTTTATCGGCAGTACTTGGTCTGTTCTTACCCCCATAGATGTGGATTTATGACTGATATGGCTGGCTGAATACAATCAGGTAAGAACCAAACAACACAACAGAACAAAACACCCAGTCTTGATTTCCTTTTTGAAACCCTCAAGCTGAAAACAAACTCATCACACCCAACACCCTTAACAAATTGGCAGACAAATGAAAGCATTTGCTCTAATGTCCTCAGAGTACATTTTGTCTCTGTGCACTCAAGCAGTTATTGATATGTTTATGGTGTGTTTGTTGCTGATTACAAAGTTTGTATAATTGTGATCAGTTCCATGTGGACCGGAGGGCCCGGCTGTCAGGCTGGATGGGTGGAGTCGTGAACTGCAAGGAGTGTGTGAAGACAAATGTCTTTTTTTTAACCAAGCAAGGGAAATTATTTTATTTAGATGAAATCACAAGGCACGTTTATTATACTTAAAACTAAAATCAAACACAAAAACAAAGCTATTATGCTATATGCTTACATGTATAGCAATGCTAACATGTTGATATTTAGCAGGCATGACGTCTAATGTTTATCACTCCTCTTCTCCTTGTAGGCTACACAAACTTGCTCGGATCAGTCATTAGCCCGCATGGTTTTTCATACCACTGCTAGGCTGACGACACCCAATTAATTCTGTCCTTTCCCCGCTCAGAGACCCAGGTCGTCGCACGCATCTCTGCTTGTCTAGCTGACATCTCTCAGTGGATGTCTGCTCATCACCTCAAGCTCAACCTTGACAAGACTGAACTGCTTTTCCTTGCTGGAAAAGATTGTCCCACTCTTGACCTAACAATCAACATCGGCCCCTCTGTTGTTTCCCCGACTCAGACTGCAAGGAATCTGGGTGTGACCCTAGATAACAAACTGTCCTTCACTGCAAACATCGCTGCTACAACCCGCTGCTGCAGATACACTCTTTACAACATCAGGAGGGATACGTCCCCAGCTGACCCAGAAAGCAACGCAGGTTCTGGTCCAGGCTCTCGTCATCTCACGCCTTGACTACTGCAACTCCCTCCTGGCTGGTCTACCTGCATGTGCCATCCGACCTCTGCAGCTCATCCAGAATGCGGCTCGTCTGGTCTTCAACCTTCCTAAATTCTCCCACACCACGCCGCTCCTCCGCTCCCTTCACTTGCTTCCAGTAACTGCTAGAATCCACTTCAAGACACTGGTACTTGCGTACCATGCTGCGAATGGATCTGGCCCTTCCTACATCCAGGACATGGTTAAACCGTACACCCCAGCACCTGCACTCCAATCTGCATCAGCCAAACAGCTCGCTGCACCCGCACTGCGAGGGGGACCCAAGTTCCCATCAGCAAAAACATGTTGGTTTGCTATCCTGGCTCCAAAATGGTGGAATGAGCTCCCCATTGAAATCAGGACTGCAGAAGGCTTGCACATCTTCCGGCGCAGACTGAAAACTCATCTCTTTCGACTCCACTTCGAGCGATAGAATTACTAACAAAGCACTTATATACTAATAAAGGACTGGTTTATCTAAAGCCAGTTGAGTAGCACTTGAAATGTTTTCGCGCTATGAAACCTGATTACTATATGATTCTGTTTTCTTCAAGGTTGTATCTTCCTGGTCGAATGTACTTATTGTAAGTGGCTTTGGATAAAAGCGTCAGCTAAATGTAATGTAATGTAATCCCTTTAGCTTAACCTGTTAGCATGTTAACATTTGCTAATCAACACTAAACCATTCCGACTGAGACTGATGGGAATGTCATTATTAGTTTTATGATTAACCCTGAATGGTTCATGAATGTCTGTATTAGATTTCATGACGATCCATCCAATAGTTGTTGAGATATTTCAGCCTGGACCAAAGTGTTTGACTGAACATGTATGCATTGAGTTGCGCTGCCAGTATGGCTCAAAAACGTTTGAAAACATTTGTGCTATTGAACTATATTTTGTGGCATCTAGCTATTGTTAGTTGAATGCACTAGTTGAACCAATGAATGTAACATAACAGCTAAAACTACATGATCTGGAAACTATGTAAAGGTACACATACAGTATTGATGCAATTTAAAAACTGATGACATTTTTTAGCACTATCGACCCAAAGCATATGGCCATCACTAATGCAGCCTCACCGGACATTTTCCACAACACACGCACAATAAATCATTTTACGTCTTACTTTGTCCTCCTGATGATGACAAGCAACTTTTATATGATTTATCCCAGCTGAGCATCATTTCAGTTTTACACTGCGGCCAACACAGTATGATAATGTAATCGGAGAAAGTCCAGTTTATTCTGCTTTTAGGGAAATTGGATCACACTGAGCATGATAATATAATCCAAGCCGTCTTGTAATTATTTAGTGAGTCATAAACTAAGAGAGACTACAGGCTTTTCCCTAATGGACTTTTTATATCTTCTGACAATGCATGCACATGGACTGCATTACATGAAAAGAAGACTTCACCACATGTGTAAACAAACTGCAATTAAGTTATTTTGTGTGAAACAGAATAATGAGAGCCATTACAGTAATTGTGGTGGCCAGTGTATCCCTGAGGTTTGAAACAGGCTTTCACAAACACATCATTCCGAGTTTATGAGCTTAATGGGAGCTCATTGGTGGTTGTTTTGTCATGAAACAATTTTGTTTTATGTGTGTGTACGCATGTGGGTGCATTTGTGTGTGTCTGTGTGACTTTATGAAAGTGACTTTGTGCATCTGCACCTCTGTAGTGTATGTGTGTGTTACATTGGGGTGTAAACAAAAGCCAGAGGGGGGTGAGCAGTTGCCTGTTAAATCTGTAAAACAAAGAAATTGCCTGGTGCCCAAGGGGCCTTCAAAGGCTCCTCACATTTGACGAGAGCTGCAACCACAAGCTGCTGAGCTCTCAGATTAATGCTGTCATTGCATCTGCTGGTGTGGGATACCCCTCGCACCTGTGTGTAAGAGATTCTTTGAAGTGCCTTCATCTCCTGCATGCCTCCTCTAACCTTAGTGGCAGGATCCCAACATCGCACACACAGTTCACACGCAGAGACAGGGAGCAAGGCCAAACTCTGGGCTCCCCTGTGGTGAGCTGGGAGATGGGAGTGAGCGGATGTGGAGGAGGGAGGAGAGAGTGTGAGGAGAGGAAAAAAAACAATAGCCTTAGAGTGAGGGAGAAGAAGAAGAAGAAGTAGCAAAGCAGAAAAGTGTTTAAAGGAGAAACAGAGGGCACACAACAAATATAAGAGGAGAAAAGTAAGAGTGCTATTGGATCTGAAAGTGAGAAAGGAGAAGGGTTGTGAGGGAGAACGGAGAGGGAGAGGTCCCCCGGCGGTTTGGGAACAAGGGCAGAGGCGGGAGAAGTGCCAGAGTGGCTTAAATCACCATGGAGAAACTCTGCAGGTGGAGGAAGTGATCAGAGGAAGTCATATGACATCCAGGAAACCTCCAGGGTAAACAAGGACAGATGAGAGCTGGTACTCCACACATTGGGATTGTAGTACGCCCCACTTTGTGCCCCTCGTATATTATCATCTGTTTTTCCGGCAGTCTGTAGAAAAAACCCTGGTTTTGAAGGTATTCCCCAAAACCCTGTGACTCTCCTTTTCGATCAGATTACCGAAATAATTTGCTGCACAATAAAACTAAAATGATAATCCCAAATAATTTTTTTATGAATTTATTACAAAAAGAAGAATAGAAATGTGAACATGGAAAATATTACCAAGATAAATACACATTCCTATAAATAAACCATTTAAATATTTTTGTCATACAAATATTTGTATTTGAAACAAAATTATTTGCATGTTGTTGAGTATTTGGAAATAATCTTAAAGTGTGGTTTTCATTGTAGAACAATTAAAATGTTTAGCAAACAAACCTTTTCTTAATCAAATCCCCTTGTAATCTTATTAGACTTGAGTACATATAAGATAAACTATAAAGTTTACTCAGGAACAAATACAAAATATGTAGTAAAAGTAAGAAAGCCAGGTATAATAATAAAAAAGGTTATTTGCCCTGTGTCTCCACCACAATCATAAAACATTAGCAATTTCCCTTGCGCTACATTCCGCTTATTGGCTGTACGGTTTGTAAGTAATTAAATGTTTATCAGCCAAAATAAGACGGCACAGCCAAACACCCCCTGATGTATTTCTGCAAGCGTGGCTTTGAGTAATTACAGCTTCAGACAGGTGCGTCCGACTCATTAGGGGAACACTGGCAGATTTATGTGCACAAGTCAATACCGCAGAGGTGATAAGTGATGTGTACAGTCGCTGTGATTAATTAGCAGTCTCGTCGTGAAGTGTAACAGTTCACCAGGCTCATCAGAGGTCTCCCATGTTGGAATTCAAATGAGCCAAATGAATGGGAGGACCCGCTAGGGGAGACAGAGAGGAGCAACAGGGGGTATGGGCATAGCATCAGGGTCGAGGAGCTTCAGTGTATGTCTGTATGCAATACAAGCCTTTAGCAGTGGGCTACTGATGGACATTGAGAGTTCACTGCAGGAAGTCTCAAACTGAAACACTGTTGCATGAAATGTGTTTCAGTTTGAAATGCATGGTTGTATTTACAGTAAGAGACCCATGTTTAGTATGCTGATTTTGTTCAACTGAGGAGGCTGTAGTTACATTTGTATCACATAGAGGGCAGTAGTGGCTTGCTACTTTTTATAATTGACCAATGTGGTCCATATAAACTCATGCTTATACATGCAGATAACTGGATATGGATCAAACAGGGAATCACATATTAAATGCAAATGGTTACACTCCTAACATGTCAATACAAACAAATCCTTTTGAGCACGGCTTACAAATGACTGGGGTTCATTTAATATGAGGCAATATGACTCAAGTCAACCAGAAATTAAAACCATTTTGGTTTTTTAAAGTACTAACTTATGCACAGCAAGTTGTAATTTTCTTTTAATTTCTCTTCTGCAGTCTGAAGCACATCAAGACAAATATTTGTAGCAGCTGTTTGCTTGTCCAGTCCTTTCCCAGAGTCTATAACACACACACATGCAGACACACACACACATCAACAGCTCATCAGGAGTCTACTTCT